GCCTTAATACGAATACGAATTAAGGCGAATACTTTAAACGGAGAAGAAACTCGTACTAAGGCCTCTGTTAGTCTGTCCGTCAGTGAAGCTAGGTGGTCGTTCCAGAACGTAGATTAGAATGGAGAAGAACGACCAAAAACCTCCGTTCGGTACTCTTTCAAGGTACCTATACATACTTACGTAGCATCCATTTAGCAAGCCTATTTTTATTTTTTAATCTACATATTAAGGGTGTAAAAGAATCGATTGTATTCTTAATATGTTTTTTTTCTACACAGGTCAAAGTATGGTTTCAAAATCGACGCATAAAATGGCGAAAACACCACCTTGAAGTGACACAGCAGCGGTTAGCTGTCCTGCAAAGACATCAGCCACACGACAGAGATGATGACATCTAAAACACGAAGCCTACTCCCCACTAAATAACGGAAAAAGTGATATTTCATAAAGGAAAAGTTCTACGTTGAGAAAAGTGCAATTTCATAACGGAAAGTTCTACTTTTTATGGAAAAGTGCAATTTCATAACGGAAAGTCCTACTTTTTATAGAAAAGTGAGATTTCGTTACGAGAATTCTACTTATAACGGAAAAGTGCTATTTCGAATTGAAAAAGTTCTACTTTTAGCGGAAAAGTGCTATTTCATAACGGAAAAGTTCAATTTTTAACGGGAAAAGTGTTGTTTCGTAATGGAAAATTGCGACTATGATAACGGAAAAGTGAAATTAATGACTTTAAATCAGTGTTAGTGCGACAAAAACAATGAATGGGTGAAAAACGGAGTAGTGAATGACTTCAGGACTATTTAAATGTGATGACAGTAAGTGTTAGATATAAGTAATAACTGTATTATGTTTATTTAATTTATAAAGGCCGATTTTTCAATCATCAGTTAATTCGTAACTGTAGAATTAAATCGACATTTGACAGTTTTTAGTATGGAACAATTGGGTATTTTCCTGGTTCAAAATATCTTAACTATTTTGATTTTTTAATCCAATCAAATATTCGAAAATAATTACAATTACATACATATATTTGACGATAATTTTACTTAATTTTCGATTTATTCTAGCAATTTTTTCACAAATAAGTGTGCTATTTGACTCGAAAATATAATGACGTCATAAGTTAGTTTTTGGTACAAAATTCATAGAACAATATCGTTTTTGACGTTTCGTTACAAGTATTGAATTTGATTAGTTATAAAACACCGTATTGTCAAATATTTAAAATTATTCCTTAGTTAAAATTTATCTGAGCATTGAAAAATTGGCCCTAATGTCGGAATACTGAAACGCTACTCAATTTTAAGTCGTGCTTAAGTATAGTTCTATCTCGACAAATTCTTTGTAAAATGACAGAGATGGCACGATATTTGAGCACTACTTAAAAATAAGTAACGTTTCAGTATTAATAAGATAAAATAACCCAGTGTACTCTATCGCAGACATATACAAAATTGAAATTGGAAAATGGATATAAGTACCTAAATAATATTGCTTAAGGTCCACAGATAATAGTAATTATTAGCAATTCACTCTGTCTGTGGACCATGGACAAGACTTCATTTTATTTGTGCCTTTAGCCAGATGCCACTTCAGCGCTTGTCTACAGAGAGAGAGTAGAAAACTAAATGTATGGGGATGACACTGACAAATGTCAAAATTTACGTTAATTCCATATAATTTGGTTTTCTATTCTACATGTAGACAAGCGCTAAGTGGCATTTGGCTACAGCTGCTAGTATTTTAAGTTTTGACTTTTATACTATTTTATGTTTACCTTCTATTTCAATTGTATTTTATTTTTTGGATTTGTTAAGTTTATGTGTTCTGCGCGAAAATAAATGGTTTTCTTTCTATCTAACAAATATTTTGATTTTAATTCTAATTTGATGTTTACCTAATTGACATACGATTTTATATTGTTTTTTTTATCTGTTTTATTAATTTATAATGTTTTTTTCAATTTTACAACCAATAATAACTGATTCACTGGTTTAAATTAATGAATTAAGGTTATTAAATACGCAGTATACTCACGTGAAATATTCGAGAAAAGCTCAAACAGTTTCATGTCAAATGGGGACTTTTATTCAAGAGCACGATATAACGCTGCTACCGAGATTAGGTTGCATATTTCAATTTCTTTACTTTGTCTCACTATATCGATTAACAATATTTTTTATATAGTACCCTAATAATTGCAATTTATAAGTTTTTTAGTGTCAGGAATGATGACAGGGACGAAAAGAAAAATCTAATTAGTCCGTCAGTTAGGTAATGAATAAATATTAGACACGTATTTTTTATTTAGTCGTATATTATTGTTAGAGCTGAATTTGCCAACGCCGAACTGAAGAATAACTTTGAATGCCCCTTAATCTTCGATCAACAATAACAACTATTGTTGATCGAAGCCCTTAATGAAAAATAAATTATTTCGACTGTTTAATTCTATAAAATATTAAAACATAATCGCACTTTCATTAATTGATATTAAGTAAAAACGCGGGTTACTCACGTGAATATACTGAGAAAAGCGCACCGTGCTCATGAGGAAGAACCCCTCTGTGGTTCAAAACTAGTAGAGCTTTTCTCAGTATATTCACGTGAGTAACCCGCGATTTTAGTTCATTTAGTATGTCTCACGATAATTATTATTAATTGATATTATGACCAACTTAATTTTAGTATTGTTCCAGATATTTTTTAAGAAATAAGTATGCTGCTTAACGCTAAAAAATGTGACGTCACAATACACAATCTCGTACAAACTTCGTAGAAAACTGTCGTTTTTGACAGTTCGAAAAAAGTATTGAATTTGACTAGTTGACAAGTACACAATTAACTGATGGTTGAAAAATCAACCCTTAAAGAAAACAATACTCACATAAAACACTTGCTACTTTGCTACGTCATTTTTGAGTATAAGGACACAAAACTGCGATGCGATGCGAATTCGCAACGCAAAAAATTACATTGTGATTTCGTGCGACAAGGCGTCTTCCAGGGTGACCATTCCTTCGACGACCGTCAACCGTACTAAACGTATTTTAAATTGAGAACTAGAGGTAGGTCGTGACATGGATCGTAAAAAGAAGTGTGCGCTTCTGTTATTGCTTAGGAGATACAGGAAAAAGAAACAAAGAATATTTTGGGAAGATAAGATTTTGATGCGCGATGCGAATCAATTCGCAAGTTCTTGCAATGCGTAGAGGGACCTCGCACATATTTGCGATGCGACACCGCATACCGGTAATTCAATTCATACCGTTGTCGAAAGTACTTGTTTTTGTGAGAAAATAAAAAAATACGTGTCTAATGTTTTTAAACAATCTATCAGACGGACATTAAAATAAAAATTTATCATCTACCCTATTATAGAAATTTCTTTCTTTTTAATTGTCTTAATTAATTTTAAAGTGTTCTATTACAGTAGAAATAAACGAACAGTACGGAAACTGCCTACAAACGCTCGGAAACTGCACACTCACACAAACATACGCATCTACGAGACCGACAAGCTATGCTCGCAGTGCATGAGTAGTGCGTGTCGCGTCAAGACGACTGGTCACGTTTGAGTTTACTGTGAGTAATTTTAATTAAGTTACACCATATCTAAAACTTGTTATATCAATATTAAATTATTTTCCATATTTTTAAACTATTTTGCTCAGGTTAACCGACGCAACGTCGGCGACGTCACGAGATTACCACTTAAATTTTATTTATAATCTAGTTACCTATATAATTATCTATCCAGTTTGTTGATCACTACGAAACATATTTGTTTTTTTTTTAAATAAAACAAACAATATCAAAAACATTAAGTAATAGTGACGACCCTATTGCTTTTATGGAGTGTAGGTATTTATTTTATAAACAAGGACTAGTTTCTTTACTGTTCATTATTTCTACTGTGGTTCTATGTACAAATGCCCTTATCTAAGTATTGTTTATTTTACGACAAAATAAAAAAATACGTGTCTAATATTTTTTCATTACCTACCTTACGGACTAATTAGATTTTTAATTTTTATACATTGTCATCATCCCAGTTCTTCGTTATAAGAGCTAATACTGCGTTTGAAAAAGTTGTTGTTATTTGTGTACATATATTGTTCTATAAGAGGGTACTAGAAAATAAATGATAAGTACTCAATTTTTCTCGCTTACATTACAATCTGGCTACTAGGGACTACATAAAAGTATTATTGAAATAACTACCTAAGTAACTACGTAATAAGTGTGTATTTTAAACTACCCCTAAGTGTACATTGTCAAAGTAAATAAATAAACAAATAAAAACTCCATTTTAAATATATTTTGGTTGTGTTTTATTGCCTTTTGTGTATATGAAACATAAGTTGCAAAATTTTCATAGAATAAGCCGGTAAACGAGCAGACGGATCACCTGATGGTAAGCAATCGGCGTCGCCCGTGGACACCTGGAACACAAAGGCGTTACAAGTGCGTTACCGGCCGTTTGGGGATTAGGAATTTGAGGATCGTTGGGGATTTAAGGATTGGGGAAAAGGAGGGGTAATTGAGCCTCCGGTAACCTCAGTCACACGACGAAACACAACGCAAGCGTTGCTTCACGTCAGTTTAGGAATTTGAGGATTGTTGGGAATTCAGGGTTTGGGGCGGGGAGGGGGAGGTTAAATTAGTTTCCTATTATATCACCACCTACTGTCTACTGATGTCATAACAGCCAGGTAAGGGACGAGGTACTTTGACAGTACCGGGCCACAGCTGCAGCAGAGCTTTTTAACCGACTTCAAAAAAGAAGGAGGTTCTCAGGTTGACCTGTATGTCTGCATGTATACGATCTCCGGCCACCGTAAGCGCGGGTCTGCGGACGGCGAGCATGGGTGGCTCGCTGTCCGATCAGAAACAGACTCGAGCATACAGCGCGTCGCGTTCCGCGCGCGCCTCAAAGAGCCATCAGACCACCACAGATGGGGCCTAACAGGGCTGATGCCGATTCGGAGTCGCGGAGAACCTATCGGGTTACCGAGGCTCCGGCTCGACGTGCAGGAGAAGGAATGAGGTGGTTTTTAGTCAGTAAGAGTCTGACACTCCCTCCCGCCTCACCCAGGCGGGAGCAATCATTCTGTAGCAATCATGATTTTCCCCCCTTAAATAAAATGTATGTATGCCGGTATGTTTATGCGCGATTGGCTGAACGGTATTTTTAATAATATTTGATGGGCCGACGTTTGACCACTATCTCGCCTGATGGTAAGCGATGATGCCTACAATGGAGCACGTCGTCCCATAAGCAAATTATTCCCTCGGGCCTTGAAGACACCCAGGTTATACCCTCAGGAAACACAGACTCTGTCAAAGAATTCCACTCCTTAGCAGTACGCGCAAGGAAGCTTGATAGGAATCTCTTCTTGCGTGTGGATGGGACATCGTTCATGGATCAGTGACGCTTGGCCGATTGTCTTGTGGTACGCAAGATAGGAAATATTAGATCTTGTACCAATCTGATCTTGGTTTTTATACGTATTCCTCTTTTACAATAACATCACGCCTTTTATCCCCAAAGGGGAAGGCAGAGGTGCACATTACGCCACTGTACAATGTAACACCCACTTTTCACTATTTATGTTATGAGTCCCATGTAATAGAGGGTGAGCCTCTTTCACAATATGTTTTACAATAGACTGCTCGAGTTCGATTCCCGGTCGGCCAAAGTATTACTATGTTTTTTAATATTCTCAGTAGTAGCACCGAGTCTGGAATTGTGCCCAGTATACGGCAATAGGCTCACCCCTTATTACATGGGACTCATAAAATAAATATTGGAAAGTGGGTGTTACATTGTACAGTGCCATTAAGTGCCGTAATGTGCACCTCTGCCGACCCCTTCGGAGATTATTATTATGTATTTTACAATAATAAACAAAATTTGAATTTGCCCTTGAACACTTTATCGGTCATGTCTGACCGTCCTTTACTATCTTATTGTTGTTATAAAGAGATTAATTATATTTAGATTATTATGTAGTCTTTTTGTTCTAGGATTAACATAAAAATATTATTCTGATCAATTCTTATATTCGTTTAATGGTATCATACTGATGCATGATGGTAAGCAATCGGTACCGCCCATACCGCCCATGTCGCCCATGGACAATAGACCGTAACACTAATGGAGTTAGGTACATACGGCCACACATCAACCTATACAAAACCAGTTTATCCTGGTGTCGCGTTGTATCATCTTTCCGCACATTTAACGTTCAGTTTATACTGGTTATGTGAAGCTCTATGTGTAGCCGTGTGTACAAGGGATTTGGAAATTCAGGCTAATATAAGAACAATGCCAAATTATGTTTGTTTCTTTAACTTACTAGTTCAGTAATTTGGTATTTCTACCTGAAATGTTTTCCGGGAGTTTTGTAAATGTGCAATTTTGTAGATTTTAATGTGCTCTTTTTGATTTCCATTTTGCATCTCTGTACTTGCGCCGCTCGCGCCGAAAAATGACGGGCAAAACAGTTAGGTACTTAGACTAATATTTTTTCTTTATCTTTTTTCGTGGACGATAAAATCATCCCATGACTTCCTGCCTTGGGTTAGGCTAGAGGGAGTGTCAGCCTCTTACTGACTAAAAACCACCCCGTTCCTTCTCCTGCACTTCGAGCCGGAGTCCCGGTAACCCGTTAAGTCCCACGCGGCTTCGCATCGGCATCAGCCCTATTGAGCCCCATCTATAGTGGTCTGATGGCTGAATTGGGAATTGGAACCGAGAACCGAGCGTCTTCGCTCAGCAGTCGCACTTTCAATCACTTGACCATGACAAACAGATGTGTTTCGTAAAATGATATTTGTACATAATGAAAGTTAAATTTAAACCATTCCTTAACTTGTTAACCTTCGCTTTAAACATGGTTGGCTTCTATATCCGTATGCGGAGTGAATGTTTTGCTAAGAATATTACCTATTCGGTATTATGGTACGGTGGCTAGCACTCCAGCAGGTCAGCCTATCCTATTTTTCTATTACTTATATCTTCTACTTTATCGTATTGATATAAAGTCGATAATCCAACGAATAATATTTTTTTTTCTTAAAAATTTCACTGCTTGGGGTAGTTTGATGTGCCCGCCACAGTACTTTATTCGTAAAAAGATAATATATAAAAACTAATTTTAACTTTGAAATGAATATTTTAATCATTTAACATAACATAACATCACGCCTTTTATCCCCGAAGGGGTAGGCAGAGGTACACACAGAAGTAACACCCACTTTTCACTAGGTATTTAAGTTATGAGTCCCACCCATGTAATATGCGTAATGTGCCCGGTATATGGCAATAGGGTGAGCCTATTGCCATATACCGGGCACATTTCCAGACTCTGTGCTATTACTGAGAATTTTTTAAAAACCCAGTAATACTTTGCCCGACCCGGGAATCGAACCCGAGACCCCATGCCCGGCAGTCGCACTTGCGACCACTCGGCCAATGAGGCAGTCCCACTCGGCCAATGAGGCAGTCGTTAATATTATATGTTTAAAATATCACAGAGCACAGAAATATTAAAAATTACCTTATGTCCGCAGCTAAAAAGTAGGTAACCTTTGCGTTGCTCCAGACCAGGGGTGTAGCTTGCGCCGTATCTGCCGTATCAATTTTTTTTTATAGCATAAGCCGGTAAACGAGCAGACGGATCACCTGATGGTAAGCAATCGGCGTCGCCCATGGACTCCTGCAACACTAGAGGAGAACAAGTGCGTTACCGACCTTTCGGGAATAAGGAATTTGACTATTGTTGGGGATTCAGGGATTAGAGGGCAACGAAGGCACACATTAAAATAGAATAATACTAGTTAATATAGCTCTGACAACACCCCGCGGGAAGAATAGTGTTGCTAAAACGCCGCCATTAAAGACGTGCTTTACGAAATCGATTCTCGATTACAAATCTTATCTCGCTCGCATACGTAAGTCAGCGAGTTAGGCAGTTAAGTATGTATTCATCGGTTAATGACGAAACGAGTTACAAAACATTAGATTGTGATGTAAACTCGAGTAGTCTTGGCAATAAGGTAACGTCGACCGGTTCCAGAATACGGACGTGTGACGATATACGTAGTGCTGTGGCTCAGTTTGTTGTTGGTCGATGTTTGTATCGATAGTTTTTTTTTGTTTGATTGATGTTCTCGCGACTTCGTTCGCGTGAAATTATTCATATTTCTTGTTAATTTATACTTTTTTGATGCGACAACGTGTTGATTGGCGAGGCGTATTTGAGAGCTAGTATGAATCGTTTATTGTCTACTCAAGATGGCGACTACGATTTGTCTGTCATTGTCATTAAAATGAATTAATAAAATAAAATAATCTCCGTAATCCGAATTTTGAGGATATAAGTTGTCGACTCGAACTTGATATTTTTTTTATGTTTTGTTGTTCAGGTAATGTTTCGATCGAGTCTACCGTATCCCTTGACGAAATTATTAATATAGATGTACTTAATTCCACTCTTACAGCTAACATTACAAGTGCATGTAGTTATGGGTACAACTTCAAATTCTCCTGGTAACATTTCGGTCACGTAATAAAGTAACGAACGTAACATTTCCAACATTTTTGTCGAACAAAATGTGCGGGCTCGGAGGGATCAGGCTGTGGATCAGTCCTCGACGAGCTAGGTCCTTGTGGAGAGCAAATGGACTGTATAATGAAACTGGAGAAACTCTTGTACACTGATATACTTTATTATGATAATGTTAACACTAGTGGAGATTCACAATATTAAGTCGACTGGCTGTGATCGACTTTTTACATATAACGACTACATACATTGACACACTGACTGCGTGATATTACATTGACAACCATTGACACACTGATTGCGCCTCGCAAGGAGGCGTCCTTTTATAGGCGAGCCGCGCGCGGACAGGATTAATCCTGTCGCTGTGGGCTCGCGACTCGGCCGCTCTGCGACGGAATCATGTCCGTACATGCTCAAAGGCAAGTTCAAACCAAGGAGCGGCGGCGCGGAACAAAGGATCGCCGCCGCACGCCTTTGATGTTCGTGTCTGAACTTGCCTTTTTGTCATGGTTCGGACAAGTTCGAAACACGTCGCGGGCGGCTCGCGGCCTAGCATTGCCGTCGTGCACACAAAAGGATAGGCGGAAATGTGTTATTGTGTATTTGACTTGATGATCAGAACAGGTAAATAAACTAATAAAGTAGAACAATTAAAAAAGACTAAATTAGGTCAAGCGCTCATTTTTTTTTTAATTTTAGAGCTACCGCTGGCGTCATTTTGAAATCAACTCTAAAAGTTAAATATTTCATAATAACTATTCATGGGGTTTACTCTTGAATCCAATTCAGGTTGATCGACATTGGTATTTTGAAATTTCGTACTCTTGAGTTGCAACACTAGCACCCATTGCATTTGTAGTGCGTGGATATTTAATGAACTAAATGGTATTGAGTTGGGCTTTACATTCCGTGTTTTAAATGCTACTTTAACAGCTACGATTTTTGTCTTTTTGTTCACAAATCACGAAAAAACTAAGTTCCGATTTCGATGAAACTTGGTATAATTAGGCATTAAAATCCTGGGCACCACATTGGGTAGTTTTTATCCCGAAAAAGTATATGCACTAAAATGGAATGCTGCCCATATTCATACACTACCGGAATAAAAACTAAATATTTTCCCAGTTGTTAGTGAAGCATGAATTTCCGCAAAGTAACGCTTGATTCTATTCTATACATAATTATTTATTCAAGAAAACTCATTAGAATCAACATTCAACAATCCATTATAATCATAACCTTTTGTAACTAATTACAAACAAACTATTAACCAATTAACAAATCAATTATAATTGCAATACCTAATATCGATAACTTTCATCGACACCCCACGTTCCCATCACTACAAGATAAACGTCGTACTCTCGCTATCGACTATCGACACGCGTGCACGTCAACACTGTTTGTTTACACCGAGTCACAACAAAAATATTATTTTATCATTTAGCGCTCAGCCGTTTTCGAGACAGTGACGAAGAAATAATTGTGATGAGTGTTTGACAAAAATGGATAACATTTGCTTTAATTGTAAGTACCTACTTTAATAATTTATTTCAATGATGTTAAATATGTTGTGTCATAAATACAAACTATAAATTGTAAATAATATATATACTGTCTCGATTGGGAGGAACTAACATCTAAGGTACAGGCTCGGCCTAGTTTAGATGTTCTAATGTTTTTGTCATAATAAACATTTTTTTTTATTTTTTTTTAATTTCGTTTTATTTCTTTACATTTTATTGTAGTTTGTTTGGTTTCTCGTCTATGTATTTATGTGGTTAGCTGGTTAATTTACGTGCTACTTATTTATTGAATTTATAACTTAAACTGTCAAACACCAAGCGGTCACCGGCTCGGAGTCGCGGAGAACCTAACGGGTAGCCGGGGCTCCGGCTCGACGTGCAGGAGAAGGAACGGGGTGGTTTTTAGTCAGTAAGAGTCTGACAGTTTAAACTGTCAAACACCAAGCGGTCACCGGTGACCGCAACCTATTGTTCTATAGCTCGACGTGCAGGAGAAGGAACGGGGTGGTTTTTAGTCAGTAAGAGTCTGACACTCCCTCCCGCCTCACCCAGGCGGGAGCAGCCATATGATGATTTTCCCCCCTTAAAAAAAAAAAAGCGGTCACCGGTGACCGCAACCTATTGTTCTATAATTGTGTCTACAAAACCGGTACTCGACGAGTTAATTAACGAATGAATAGAAAGTGTTAATTTGAACATAATACTTACATATTGTAGGTTCATTTCTGTCTAATATAAAAAATACAATTTATTTTACTTTTTTTTCTATTTATCTTTATATCACAAAGGTAAGTATTTTATAATCTATGCCCCACAAAACCGTTACAATGGTTTGACTATGGGTTCATCCATTATTTTTTATTTAGGTACAAGTAACTCTAACTGCTATTCGAGGAAAAAAAATCAATGAAAGATGTTTATATTTATGCGCATCAATATCAATTATACATAGTATAAAACAAAGTCGCTTTCGCTGTATGTCCGTATGTATGCTTAGATCTTTAAAACTACGCAACGGATTTTGATGCGGTTTTTTTTAATAGATAGAGTGCTTCTTAAGGAAGGTTTGTATGTATAATACATGCATATTGCACCCGTGCGAAGCCGGGGCGGGTCGCTAGTAACTTATAAACGACTGCAATAAATTATATTAGAAACTTTATTTTGTTTTTGTTATTTTTGTTAGGACAATGGCTTTTTTAAAATATTATGTTTTCTTTCCTTTTATTTATTTTTTTTAATATTTTCTTATTTAAATTATTTATTTTGTTTTAGTCACTGGTGTTATAAACTGTTATGTATATTCAATTAAAAAGTGTGATCTGAGAATTTAAAAATCCTGTGTACAATGGAATTGGCGCCAAATAAAACGACATGAAGTAGCCATGAATTTATTCTTTTGTTTCGATGTTAATTTGAATTGTATCTCATTGACGTTCCTAATTACCTAAATATTTACTGATACAATGAATTTGTAATACGATAGTTGACAGTTAGTCAAATTCAATACTTTTATTGAAATGTCAAAAACGATACTTTTCTATGAATTTTGTATTGGATTGCTACTTATGACGTCATCATATTTATGCGTCAAACGGCATACTTATTTGTTTAAAATAGGCGAGATAAAATCCAAAAGTAGGTAAATTGTCAAATCAATGGATGAGAGTATGATTATTTTTTAATTATTTATTGTATTGAAAGGTTGAAACAATATATTTTAAACCTAGGAAACTAGCCAAATCAAATAATTTGTAGTATCGCGGAGAACCTAACGGGTAACCGGGGCTCCGGCTCGACGTGCAGGAGAAGGAACGGAGTGGTTTTTAGTCAGTAAGAGTCTGACACTCTTACTGACTAAAAACCTCCCGCCTCACACAGGCGGGAGAAATCATTCGATAATTTTCCCCCCTTTAAAAGAAATAAATAACCCCCGGGTGTTGGTTGGGTTGGTTGAAGTCTGTTGTGGGTTGAAGCCGGTTGTATTAAACGCAACTTTTAACAGAAGTTCCTATATACCTTACTAGCTACTTCCGCGCGGTTTCACACGCTCTGCTCAGCTCCTATTGGTCGTAGCTTGATGTTTTATAGCCTATAGCCATCGTCGATAAATGCGCTATCCAACACAAAAAGAATTATTCAAATCAGACTTGTAGTTACGGAGATTAGCGCGTTCAAACAAACAAACAAACTCTTTTGCTTTAATAGTAGGTATAGGTAAGATGCCGGGCGAAGCCACGGGCTCATACTAGTGTCACAAAAGTACATTTTTTAAAAAAACTAAACGTCGTTCATTATTAATGAGTTTGTATAAGTAATTTTTGCAATATTTATACATAAATTAATGTATAATATTATCTACAATGCTGTATGTAATTATTTATATTTATACTTCTATACAAAATACAAAGTCCAAGGCTAGGTAAGTGCGCGACCGTATTTATTTATCGAAGTCATTTTCTTTGACGAACGAAGTCGTCTGAGTAATACATTTTTAGCGTTGTCCCAAGTCGCGGAGGAGAACCTATTAACGGGTAACCGGGGCTCCGGCTCGACGCACGTGCAGGAGAAGGAACGGGGTGGTTTTTAGTCAATAAGAGTCTGACACTCCCTCCCGCCTCACCCAGGCGGGAGCAGTAGTTCGATGAATTTCCCCGCTTAAAAAAAACCGTTGTCCCAACACTAGCTTGTCTTGTACCGTGGATGCGTTTGTCGTGTCGTCGTGGCCCCGAGGTTTAAGATACCCGCTTCTCATGCATGAGGGTGCGGGTTCGAAACCTACCAAAACGGCAAGTACCAATGTATATGTACTTTACTGTTCCAAGTTATATGTACCTCTTAAGATTATCTACACACCACTGACAAGCGGTGAAGGAAAACATCGTGAGGAAACCTGGGCTTATAATTTCTAATTATAAGTTTGAAATCGTCAACCCGCATTGAGGAACCGTAGTGATTAATGCTCAAACGTCTTCGTGTGAGAAGAGGCTTTGCTCAGCAGTAGGCATTATGGGCTGTTATTGTGATGTGTTACAAGTTCACATACACATCACACCCAGACCTTTTTTCCCTACTTCTGCTTTGATCTGGAGCCCCAGCCATCCCCTAGGTCGTCCCCAGCTTTAGGGGGCTTACTCTTGAATCCAATTCCGATCGATCGACATTGACATTGTAAAATTTCGTACTCTTGAGTTGTAACTCTTTTTTTTTTTTTTTTTTAAGGGGGGAAAATCATCGAATGACTGCTCCCGCCTGGGTGAGGCGGGAGGGAGTGTCAGACTCTTACTGACTAAAAACCACCCCGTTCCTACTCCTGCACTTCGAGCCGGAGCCCCGGCAACCCGTTAAGTCTTCCGCGGCTCCGTATCGGCATCAGCCCTGTTAGGCCCCATCTGTGGTGGTCTGATGGCTCCTTGAGGCGCGCGCGGAACGCGACGCGCCGTACGCTCGGGCCTGGTTCTGGTCGGGCGGCGAGTCACCCGTGCTCGCCGTCCGCAGGCCCGTGCTTACGGTGGCCGGAGATCGTCTCGCGATCCCCGACGCCCGGAGTGTCTCTCGCGACGGCCGGGTCGTGAGGAGGTTCGTTCCCTCACGCGCTCCGCCTCCTCCTTAGCTAGCATGACTGCTTCGCAGAAGGAGGAGACGGCATCCCAGTCCCCCTCGCTCCGTACCATGGTCTGAACCAGAGCCGGA